GTCTGATGTTTTCATACATTCATTGTCCTAGAAATCTTAATCGCTTACAGTTTGATTAGTGCTGCACGTTTGTTTTAGTCTTTTAAGAAAGAAAAAAAATCATAAATGAAGTTTGTTTTATTTGATTATGACATGTTTAAAACATGAATGATCTTGATTTTTATTTGCAATCATCATGAAATCATGCGAAATATTATATTTTTCAACATATTTTCTCTGCTTTGTTTTCCAAAAGAATTCGGTTTAAGAGTCGACACAACTCCAAAGAGTTTTGTGGGACAGAAATGATCCTTAAACATCAGGCGGAAGCCAAAGCAGTCTGGAAATGCCAGCACAGTCCTTGGAGCTGAATTCACACAAAAGCTATACTTTGGTGTGACATGTTCAGTTCTGTCTCCTGCCACTCCCCGTCTCCTGATGTGTTTTTATGTTGTCCATCGTTTTCATTAGTCCTGAGAAAAGATAAACACGTTTTGCACAGGAATAATTTTTGTTAAAGCCAAGTAGAAAGAGATAGAGTTCATTATAGAAGATAAAAAGGTTTTTGTCTTCGATATAAACCTGTGACTGCTTATCACACGTCAGCTACTCTCATCAGTGATTTTCCTGCCGACCTAATTAACGTCCCACCTTGGTCACCTGGGACAGGTGCCTGGTACGATCAAGGACTCCTTTAGCCGTAACCTGCACAGGAAATGCAATTTCTTTAGTTAAAACTGGATTTCTGATTAAGGTTAGTGTTTTGTTATTAAACATTTAGTCAAGTTTTAATGTAACAAAATCAGACCGACAGCCATAACTAATTGAGAATTTAGAGTTAACAAATAACTTTTCATAAATGTGAGGTTTTTTTTTACTTTTTTGGAAGGAGAAACCATATTAATTAACAAAAATAATCTAAACAACAATCATTGAATAAGAAGAAATTATAGTATTGAAGAATTTAACAGCTTTCACAACAAACCATAAATTATAAATATCAATTAATTATAAATATTAATTAACCTATTTAGGAGGAAACCCAGACATGCTAGGGGAGAAAACTGCAGGCGACTTCTGAACCCAGGACCTCCTAGTTTAAATGCAGGAGCACTAAATGTTACGGTATAGTGCAGGGCTATTCAAGTGGCGGCCAGCGGGCCATTTCCAGTCTGCTGGTGACTTCAATCCGGCCCACTTCGTAAAGAAAAAAATTTTTTTTGGGGGGGGGGGGGGTTCTGTTTATTGAACTTATCATTCAATGCAATAAAATAAACACATGTAAAAGGTAACAGATAACTGCAAACTTTGGATTATTTACCTAATGATTTTAATCCCTGGATGTTCAGCCCCTGAGCTGTTGGCTTTCAGAAACTGTCGCCCCCTGAGAAGTTTTGTTGAATAGCCCTGGTATAGTGTCTGTAAAGTATTTTTATGGTTTGTTGTGAAAGCTGTTAAATTCTTCAATTCTACAATTTCTTCTTATTCAAAACAGCTGCACCCATTTAGAGATGAGTACTAGTGGCCATGACAACAAATGTACCAATGCGGCCACCTAAAACTAACAGTTCAACACAAGGTGTACCTGAATAATAATCTCTCCAACTTTTGAAACGGTGAACAAGGTGAAAGGTTATGCGTTTATTTAACATCCGACCTGTAGTTACCCGTCTGTCTGCTTTACTGTACACACGTTTTTAGTCTGTTTTATGGCTGCACGAGGTGGCTGTTTGTATTTTCTACAAAAAAAAGTTTTGCCTTTTCCTTGGTTCTAAAAACGCAAAAATACCAACCAAAAAAAAAAAAAATTATATATATATACTGTGTATATATATATATATATATATATATACTCTAGATCTTCAATTTCTCAATAAATCGAACACAATATACATATATATTTCTATATATAACTATATATGTGTGTGTAAACACTTGGACGTGCTGTGTATCTTTGATTTAATATACTTTGTACTAATTCAGCATTCAAACTATTGTTTTCCATTTATTTTATTTTCAGCACTTTTCTCTGCAATCTCTCTTCTTCTGTAGTCTTTGTGTCCCTCCGGATGATGGAGCCCCTCACCCGGTCTCCAAGGCTGAGCCTGCGTGGTCCCCGGAGGAGGCTCATTTTAGCTGCTTGCATCTTGTTTTTCAGTCATGATCCAAACCTCATGACCTCAGGTGAGGGTTGGAACATAGGCAGACCAGTAAATTCAGAGCTTTGCCTTTTGATTCAACTCATTCTTCACCACGACCGACCGAAGCAACACCCTCATTACTGAGGACAAGGCTCCGATTGGTCGGTCCATTTCCCACTCCACCCTACCATCACCTATGAACGAGTGCTTGAACTCCTCCATCTGAGGCAGACTCTAAAATTTTAAAGATAATTTATGAAACAGTTTCAACCAGAAACAACTCACGAGTTAAAGTAATAATATTACTCGGACAGATTAATAATTTATTACAAAATGTTTCTATAAAGCACCAAGATGCAAGAAAATGTGACTTTTTTCTCTTTCAAACTGAACAACAAGATAAATGTAAAAAAAAAAAGAAAAACATTCTTGATTCATACAAGCCCCGGACGTTTATTGCAAATTAAATTTTGCCAGCATAAATTCAGATACACATTTTAGAAAGGTAACTGAGTAATGGATACAGCCTGTTTTATTATAATACTGACAGATTAATTTTTTTATTACGTTTACATCAATGTTCAGACTTCTCCCGTGTCTATAATACAAGATGTTGGTAGAATGCATACATTATGCTTTTGTTGGATGTTTTAAAACGTTTAAATTATATTTGTGTAAAGGATGCTTGCATACACTGCCTCCTTTTATAGGAGTCACAAAGATAAGATTTCATGTCGCTTTCAGCAGCATCTATGCACTCAGTTACACCTTTAACATTCGGTAAAATCATCGTTTTATGGAATAAAACATAGAATTATTCCTTTATTACGATGCACAATGAACACAGATACGTGCTGGTTTTACATTCATGAAAGTTTTATAGTTCTGAACCGTGTTTCTGTGGATTTTTTTTAATTATTATTATTATTTTCTGTAGATGAAATATTTTTTTCTCTCTGCGACTTGTGTGAATTGTTACTTAAACATCGGAGGTTTCAAGTTAAACATGATTTTTTAAAATTATTATTATTATTAAGAGCTGCCATGTAGCACTAAACAGTCAAGCCATCAAATTTATACTATCAATGAAGCAGAAATGATCATTAATTATGGTCCAATAATGAGTTTAGTTTAATTTTGAGGACTCATATATGGGGTGCCGTTTATAAAGTTACACAGTCAAAAATTAACAGCCATATTTCGGTTTATTTAACCTTTAATAAGAAAAAAACTGGGGTTTTTTCAAAGTCATATTTTCACCATGTTGTGAAAACCTTGCAAGCTAAATATTTAGCTTGCAAGTTTAATATTTAAGTCCGAGTTAAATATTTAGTTAGCTAATTCAAATTTATTTTGGAAATTAAATGTTTAGCTTGGAAAATCAATATTTAGGTTAGAGCCAAATATTTAGTTAGCAAACTAAATATTTAGCTTAGAAATTAAATGTTTAGTTTGGAAATTAAATATTTAGCTTGGACAATAAATATTTAGTTTTGAAGTTAAATGTTTAGTTTTGAAAATAAATATTGGAAATTAAATATTTAATCTACACCTAAATATTTAGTTTACTACTACCTAAATATTTAACTTGCAAGTTAAGTAATTAGTTTGTAAACTAAATATTTAGCTTGTAAATTAAATATTTAGTTGGGAAGTATGACATGTATAAATAACATGGTGAAAATATGATTGAAAAATTTTTTTTTTTCGTATGAAAGGCTAAAAAATATTGCTGTCAATTTTTGACTGTGTAACCTTACAAATGGCACCCCATACTCGTAAGCCTTTATTTTTGGCCAATCTAAGTAACTTTTACTCTAATTTTTTCATCTTTAGAGATAAAACGCAAACAAATATAACATGGGCTGATTGTGAGTGCTAAAGAAAGTTGATTAAATTACATGAAGAGGATGTTAAAAATCACATCATCAGTCATTTTCAGTATTTGGTGAGTTACTTTTTCTTATCCCCCATTCTGGATTTTACCATGAGAGGACATTTGTTGTTAATTTTATTGCTTTAATTTGTAGTTTTTTAATCACAGTAAATTCTGCACCATTATTTTTACTTATACCTCATAGGTATCCGTGTTTCTGAAATGTGAAAGCACATGAGATACAGTATCTTAAGGTCTAACGAGGTCACCACAGCTTAGGTTTTCATGCTTAGATCTCCAAAGTTATGGCGATGGTGTAACAGTCTTCGTCTCCACTGGAAGCCGAACTCACGTGGTTTCTTGAGGTTTTCTGCTCTCCGTGACTTCTTTCTGCATCTGTCAATTACTGTTATTGCTCTGATGATTCACTCTCCCAACATTCAGGTTGTTCTGATTTCCAAAGTTTTTTTAATGCTACAAATGCATCAGTCTAGTCATAAAGATGTCTCCATGCAGGAGCTGTTTCTGTGGAAGGATCTGTGGTTGTGGCAGTTCTCGCTGCAGTGGACGATGAGGACCGGGTAGCAGAGAGCGTCTTCGTAGTGCGGGGGCTCCTCGTCGCCGTCGGTGCCGAGGCGCTCCGAGAGGCAGCGGGTGTTCTCGCTGGGACTCTCCTGGTCGTCCAAGCTGCCGCTCCTCCAGAAGCAGCTCCTCTGGGAGCCGTAACGCCGCGCCAAGGAGAAGCGGCTGCTGCTGAAGGGGATGCGGGAGCTGGCGCCGGTGCAGATGCTCAGGGCGCTCCTGGAGAAGACCGAGGAGCAGCTGATGGCTCTGTGGCACCGCTCACAGTTCTGACGAAGCCCGCTGAAGCTGGATGGACACTGGGCCAGGTCCATCAGGCCAGCCTCGGAGTAACTGGGAACTAGCTGCTGGTTGGAGCGGATGTGCCACTCCAGCTCGGTGCTGTCAATGGTGTTGACGCGAGGAATCCGGCGCCAGTAAGGCCGGTCATCGCAAGGGGTCACTGGGAGGTAGTCGTGGCCAAAAAGCTTCTCGACACGGTAGTGAACGTATGCGGTGCGATACTCAGTGAAGACTCGGAGAGGCCAGGAGAACGTGAGGAATGACGCAAACCAGAACACGTAGTGGGACAGGTACCAGGGGTGATGCTCAGGGTCAGCCAGCACCAGGACATACTCTTTCAGGTCAATGTTTTTCAAGTGCATGCCCTCTCTAGCTTCCATGTAATCATCCAGACCCTCGTTGTCGGTGAAAAACCTCGCCCTCTGCGTCAAGTACGAGTTCTCCGACTCCACGTTGGCAAAGCTGAAGCACTTGGTGAAGCGCATCTTTGTAAGAGGGGACTTCTCCAGGCCCACAAGCTGTTTGGAAACATCTTTGACTCCACAGTGGCTGTAGTCATATTCAGCCTCTGCCACGTGGGTGTTGACGCGCTCGTGGTAAACCTGCGTGCTGGTGTAGGCGTCACCATTGCGGTAGCGCGTGACCTGCCGAGTTCTGCGCACATAGTGGTAGCTGATGGCCTTCCACCAGATGCAGGGTTTCGCTTGCTGCATCCTCTGAATGCGCTCATAGATGCCCTCAACGTCCACTTTGTGTTGCAGCTCGTTCTTCACGTGGCAGTGCCAGCACTCCACGAGGTAGACCAGGTAGAGCATGCCCAGAAGGGCCAACGGGATGTAGATGTATCCGTCGGAGCAGGGGCTGTCATGGTACATCATAGATTTCCCTTTGAAGGCGCTGTCGAAGGTGAGGTGGGTCACTTTGGTGACCTGACACCAAACCATGACCCCCATGCAGCCGTACATGAGAACAGAGAGGAGAAGGCATTTCCAGAAACTCTCCCGACAAAAAGACTTGCTCAGCGATTGTTTCAGGGGTCTCTGCTGTTGAAAGAAAGGAAGAAAAGAACAAACGTTCATTTATATTTTAATTGCACTTTTAGTCATATTTGTTCACTTCTACATTTAAAATCTTACTTCTAACATATTAGCTCAACAACCAAGCTCATGTTCTTGGATATTTTTCCACTTGGCTCTCAGACTACAGGTTTACTTGTGGTTCCTATAGAGTTTCTAAAAGTAGAATGGTATGCAGAGCTTTAGTTGTCAGGCCCCTCTGTTGTGGAACCAAAATCCAGTTTTTACTATTTATTTCTATCATCAACATACATTTTTTATTTGTCTTTCTTGCCATAGGAATCACTTCCTGTTTGTCTGTGCCTTTTTCTTGTCCTCTCTAATCCCAACAAGTCAAGGAAGATGGTTGCACAAGAACCATGTTCTGCTGAGGGTTTCTTCCCGTTATAAAGGAGTCATTCCTTCCCACTGTCACCTCTGCTGCTCAGAATGGAGGGGTGAGATGAAGTGAAGATTCAACGCAGTCTGCTGTGACTGTTTTGAATTATAACAGGATTGTAATTAAACTCTGGGTTTTCTGTTTGTTCATCTGAGTGGTTTGCAAACCTCTCAACTTTAGACCACAAATATATAAACGCCAGCGATTTTTGACCCTATTGATGACTGAAGTGTACAAAGATGGCTGACGAGCAATTTCAATTCAATTCAAAAATACTTTATTAATCCCAAAGGGAAATTAAGTGTTATTGTAGCTCATTATCCTGGTTGCATTCAAGAGTAGATGCTGTGGGCAGGAAGGATCTCCTGCAGTGAAGACGAAGAATCTGGTCACAGATATCGATCCGTCCACCTGGATCCAGCTTGCTGTCAGATTCGGCGGGCCTCTCGTCCTCCTGGGCAGCAGGACTGCCCAAATGCAGAGCAGAATTCCTCCCTGAGCAATAATCACTCCTCTCAGCAGTCTGCCGAGCTCCTCATCGCCACGGAAAGACAGCTGAAGGTGCCGGGGGATGATCCCGGTCCTCTTGTTGTCACGAGCCGAGTTTCTCACCTGCTAGGATCTCGGTGGTCAGGTACTCGAGCGCCGCCAACAAACAGGTTGATGGGAATTCGTCCACGGCACCTCCTTTTCAACTCATTTCAGATTTGGGGCTGTAGTTGAGGTATTTGAGCTTTTGAGATGTTAATCAGCTGCTCCTGGTTGTTCAAAACACCTTGTTGCCATGGTTACACATTATAACGAATGCCCAAAAGTAAAAATCCTTCCAGCTGCACAGCATCTGATACTCGAGGAAATAATCATCCGAAAAAGTGATTTACATCCAGAAAAAAGGGGAACTGAAGTTTTCAGAAGCAATAACTCAGAATGAATGTAACTGAGCTGCTTCCAACATGCAGCCACCCCGAGCAGCGCAATTCATTTAGCCAACCTCATCAACCAGATTAAAATGTATCCATTTTAAAGCTAAATACGCTATTAGCAATATCTTATAGACACCACACTTATATTTCACCACCCACAATTGGGGTCCATAACCTATGATTTGTTTTCACATTCTCTTGTTTGCCCTTTGTTTGTGTTGCAAATAAAGTAGGTTATTTTTGCCCTTTTCACCTGTTTGTGCCACTTAATTCACATTTCCCAAACAGAATCACACACAACTTTAAAAACATATTTTTATATCCCTTATTGTATTGTTTGCTATTTTTTTAGGCCAGGGTCAGACTAAGGTTAATGAGCAGATTTTAAAACAGTCAGTTAGCTCTGATAGCATTTTTATTTTATTTTTTCCAGGTGTGCTGGATTAAAGGCCCTGCCACAGCAAAAGCTGCTTCCCTGAGCACATTTTCTCAGATTTTACTCCTACATTTTCAACAGCTTAAGAATTTCCTCATGACAAATCGGAAAACAGAGAGAGCTGTGTATGAAAAAAGCTGCAGCCTGCACGCGCAGCGCGCACTGGAGACCTCTGCGTCAAACCTAAACCTGGAGGAAAAAAAAAGGTTATTTTGTTAGAAAATGGACCCCCCACCTCCTCCCTGCTGTCCTCCTCGCAGACGGTGGTCGTGCTGCTCTCAGTGGCCGCGGCTGCAGACGCCGGAGGAGACATGATGGACAAAGACGGGGCGTGGAGCTGGAGGAAGAGGAGGAGGAGGAAGAGACGTCTCCACCTTTCTCTGCGGCGTCTCTCATCCCAGACAAATCGAGACAAATGATGCGATCATCCCACGAGGTGGAGGGGGTGTTTCCCCCAGAACACCCCCCGTCCTGCAGGCGGTGTCCTCAGCTGTCGGTACCGCAGGATGATTGGGGAGGGGGGAGACAGTGGAGGATGGAGTCCCTCTAAATGGGTATGAGGCGCGCGCTGCTGCGTAAATCTGACGCTTAAAGGGGAAACCCGAACCCGTCGGTTCGTTTGGGTCTGTGAGAAAAACCCCGAACTGCTGAGTCTGATGGGCTTCTTTAAATGAATACTGACCGGAATTTTTTTTTCTCGTGTCTGTTAGCAAAATATCTCAAGAACCACTGGACGTATTATAATGAAACTCTTAGAAAATTGGTATTTTATGTACGTCTACACTTGATTGACTTTTGGAGTCAAACCGATTCAAGATGGCCGTCACAGCCAATTGACCTTACATTTACAAAAAAAAAAGTCAATTTTTACAGATGAGCTAAACTCCGGTGTGGTTGTAGCTGAGAGTTATCCTCGACACAAGCGCTGAGGGCTAATCAGTGCCTGAAACCTTTGCTTAAAACTTTAACACTGTTGGAGTCTATAGCAAATTATCTCACGAGAAAAGACTGATTTAAATAAAACTTCTCGGAAAAAAATAATTAAATTTACATTAAAAGCTGATAAAACTTTTGGAGCTGAACAAAGTCAAGGCCGCCACAATAAAGCTTATCTGACACAAGAATGAACTCAGTTGGTTTTACAGATGAGGTAAAGTTTAGTGGTAGCTGAGAGTCATCCCCAACATGGACTCTGAGCATAAGATTATTGTCAAGATTGGTCCAAAATGGTTTTGTTATTTCTCAACTTCAAATGATCTGAGTCCAGAACTCTAGAATGGAAGATTTTAGGCGATATGTATTCCTTCAAGGAAATATTTGAACCATAGACAAACAACTTTACTAAACAATATAGTTTCATAAACTTTGGTGAGATAAGCATGACAACCGGAGCTGAAGGCCACTGAGATGATTATGAAAACAATGGTTTTATTCATGTTTATGAAGCACGTCCAGTCTAAAATGAACAAATTACAAAATATTATCTCAAAAATCAAAATCCAACAGCATCTAAAAAAATCATACAACATCCTGGGACACATTTAGTTTGACATTTTATATTAAAAAATACAAAAAAGAGCTTCAGTGAAACTAAAAAAAAAAAAAAGCATGTGAAAACCAATGGTAATTTCTGCAGGTGTGAAGGTTTATAAATATTGGACATTACAGGTAAAATTAAATATGCTGTATGCTCTATTGTAAGGCTAATATTAAAATGTGTGAGTCACATATGTTTTTTCTGAGATAATAATAAAAATAAGTTCAAGAGTTAAAAATCATAAACGTATAATTGTGTTAAAATGTGGAGAAAGTGTCACAAAATATTCCATGATACCATTAGAATAAACCAAACAAGTCTATTCTGAAGTGTTAACTTCTTGGGATTCATTTCAAACATTTGAACAGAAATTGTCTTTTGTAATAATCTTTTGGTCCTTTTAAGCAGATTTAAAAAAAAAAACTTGAAACTCCAAACATCTCACTCCTTTTCCCAGGGCCTCCTTCTCTGACGATGGGAACCCTGCAAGAAGGAGAAAAAAGTTGTATCTCAAAGTTCAAGGTTCTTTATTGTCATTCACATCACATGTAGTACATGGGGTGGAACAAAAATTGTGTACCCAAGGTCCCAGTTACACTCAAAAATAGCAAAAGTATACAGTATAAACAGAAACAATATATGAGGATCTACACAGATACTGTATATGCTAAACGATACGCTAAAAGATCTAAGATATACGCTAAACACTAATAATGAAAAATAATAACGGCATATTAAACAGCAGCCTGAACATGAGTCTGTAGTGAGCAAATGGGTATGATACAACAGCATAAAGGCAAGAGATCAGCTGAAGGTAGGATAGTATGGAGTACTTTTGAGCAGTCAGTATCCTACCTGTAGCAGACAGCAGTCAGTGACCTCAGTTTGGAGCTAAAAGCTTATCATGAGCAGTTCAAGCAAATATATTTGAACCTTTTTGAACGAGATGGACATTTAATCACAGCAAGACATTTTATTTAAAAATGCTGTGGCTGAGTCGAGACCACCTTTCCAATGGACTGAGCCTTCCATTTTGGTCCTCATAGTACCACAGTACTGGTTGACGTGTTGCCATCTTTTTATATGATGGAAACGAATGATGCGGTTGCGAGGTTTTAGAAACTCTGCGTTTGATTCTTGTGAAGGAAACGCTCACGTTTGATGTCGGTCTCAAGCCAATCAATCCACGCTTCAGCTCGACTTGCTTGGAAACAGGATTGAGAATCAAGAACCGATCTTGAAGCGGGTGGGTCCACCTAGTAGAAAAAGACTCTGAAGCCACGTCGAGTTGACCCGAGTGGCCGAGTCGAGCCAGTTTTTGTTATTTTCAAAAGGGGAAACTGTTTAAAATACAAGTTTTTAACAAACATATTGCCTGTTGTAACTAATTTAATAATTGGGGACTGCCTCTATTATTTTCCACCTTTCAAAGGGTTTCTTAACTTTATGTCTTACTCTTCCATCAACTTTAATGCATCCTGAACCGCAATGTGTACCCCCACAAGTTTTATATATAACGACCGGCTAGGCACCGTGATGTATGCTATTACTTTTATTGGCATTTCGAGTTACCATGGCGACGTAATTTGCAAACAAAGATGACATTTTTTTCCATACAAAACGCCTCAACAGCTCCTAACAACTATAACTCAATCATTCTTTGAGATATTGAGCTGATATTTGCTCTGGTCTAGCTGAAGGCGAGTTTTCATATTCCTAATGCAAATCTAAAATTCAATATGGCCGCCCGAGCTAAAAAGGAAAAAAACTATAAATCAGCTAATTTTAGAGCTATTGAGCTAAAATGTTGTGAGGTGATAGCTGAGAACATTTCACATACTGAATCCAAATAAAAAATCCAAGATGGCTGCCCAAGCTACATTTAAACGGCTTTAACCAAGCTATTTTCATATATATACAGCTGAAATTTGGTGTGGTTATCGCGGAGGACATTCCCCATCACAGACTGAATCCAAATAAAAACTCCAAGATGGCCACTTTACCTAAAAGGGAAAATATATGGTAACTCAGACATTTTTAGAGCTATTGAGCTGAAATGTGGTATAGTGGTAGCTGACAGCGAACCCAAACACAGTACTGTCAAATCTAAATGATACATTGGCAGCAGCATGGCAGTCCCTGTCAATGGTTCTCCAGGAACTTTCTAGTTAGAGGTATTACAGTATGCTTGAACAAATGTAATGATTTTGATTTCTGTTTTGCCCGTCGTCCGAATATTTCTCCCTGCTTCTCCAATTTGAGACAACTCTGACTGCTGTCTGGCTCTTAGAAGACCAGTTTAGAGCTTCTGTCCACTTACCGAGTACATGCTGGAGAGGTTGTTGAAAAGCACTTGACCTGCGCTCACTTTGTTCCTCACCCCCCGGATGGTCCCGTTCTTGCTGCAGATGTTGATCCTCTTGTTGCTGAACACCAGCTCTCGCTTGACGCTGGCGTACATGAGCAGGTCGTCCGGTTCGCAGCCGCTGTCGTCCGTGGGAGCCTGCAGCCCGGTCAGGTGCTGGTTGGCTTCGCTGGCTGGCAGCGAGCTGACCTGTTCTGCCTCCGAGCTGCCAGACCCGTCAGAGTCCACCGACTCCGAAACCGAGCTGCACCAGGTCCTTTCATCCTTGAACACCTCGGCCAGGACCCGGCCGCTGTTGGCAGACGCCACTCTGAACCGGACGGTTTTCCCAGCCTTGTCTTTGTCCTGTTTCAGTTTCGGGCCCTCCATTGAAACCCAAAAACGACTCACATGATCCTGAGGAAACTCAGGAGGAAACACAATTATCAAACCATCATATCCTCTCCGAAGTTTTAAAATGAGCCGAAAATACACCGAGTACAACCACTACACTCCCAAAGGCTCAATAATAGATGAGTTTCTGCTATGGTAACAGCTAAAACGAGCAAACAGTAAATTGATATTATATGTTCAATAATTGATCAAGGTTAGCACACACCTCCTGTCTGATCTTTAGGCCTGAACGCCCGAGGGATTACCCTCAGAAAGCATGAGGTAACCTTTAGACTTCTTCATATACAGGTGTTGAGACCTGCGTCAAACACTATGTTGACTTTTAGGTTTTTTGATATTTAATTGATCAATTTGGCTTTGAGATTAAATTAAAGGTGACTGACCTCAGTTAGCACACTGGTTTGGTCAAATGTGGTTTTGAATGGTTAAAAAATAAATTTATTCCTCACTATTATACATTTTATAGATAATTAAACAAATAAATTTATTTTTTATTGTTTGCCATTACTTTTGATTCTTCAGCCACTTCTGAAAATGAGCATTCAAGTTTGTTATTGAGCATAAAATCATAGATTTCACAGCACTGATGTTAAACTTTCTTTTGCCACTTGAAACATGGCTTGGGGCTGCATTTATTAATTCCGTAATTTTTATAAAGTTATAAAATCACGCGCAGAAATACACACGTTTTGATCTACCGCACTAGGAACTGATTAAAAAAGGAGTGCCGATGTAGTACAAGCCCAGATGGATCAAAAAAATAAATTACAAATAATGTGTTTTTGAAAAAGACTGAAACAGCTAAACTAACACCAGTCTGAAAAAAAACAAAAATGAACGTATGACTTCTAAATTATGTTTATTTGTACAACAATGTTGTATTTTTGGATCTCGAGCATGTGCACTTGTCTCCATCCACCCATTCATACATTAACTATTTTTCAGCCTATCAAGATAACTGATGATAACCAAACATATAAAAACAAGTCTTGAACATATAGCCAGAAGGAGTAACTCTTTAAAAATAAACTTTTTTTTAGTTTAGATAAATGCATTTATTTTCTTTTTTTAATTTTTAATCAAGCAAATGTCTCATTTGCTTACAAACGGAGCCAGCCAATAAAGTGTGATTATGTTGTTTTGGATCTTAGAGTTATATGAAGTATAAATATATACAGTATACTTTATGATTGGCTTCATAAGTACCGGAATATTGGATTGGTACATTTAATTGATTTCCTTATCCTTTGATTTTATCTAAAAAAAAAAAAAAATTATATAATTTAGATTTTAGGCTACATTACACCAACCTTTTTGAGGAAAACCAATGCGCATGCGTAATATCTGGCACCAATAGTCTGCGGTTCAGCCTGTACTTTCCCTCTACGCCTGCAGGTGGCGGCAGAGCTCTTCTGACGCAAAGCAGCCGCAGGAGAAGCGAAGAAGAAGCTGCTGGCACCGGCTGCACGTGCATAAACATCAGTCACAACATGGGGAAACGGAGACAGAAAAATCAAATCTTCACTAATTTATCAAAAAAACAGAAGAAACACTTGAAGGAATTTGGAGAGGAGCATCCGTTTCACGATGTGTAAGACGTTTAGGATTACTCGGGCTGTTTTAAAGAACAACGAGCTAGTTTTTTGAGTTAGCCATGAAGCTAATTGCACTGGCTAACTCGTACTTTCGCAACAATAAGTGTGTCAACAACGAAATTATCAGCTAAATAATTAAGAGCCTGTTAGTTTAAAAATGGCGTTGTATTGAAAGGATTTAACATTTATTACGCAGAAATACTAAATAAATTTCCAACTATAGTGAATCTAATGTGCTAGAAACAAGCAAGTAGTATTCATAATAATGAATTATAACTATAAATAAAACTACTTATCATACTCCTACTCAAACTGCAAACTCACATAAGACTTATGTGAGTTTGCAGTACATTTGAAAGGTGTTTTAGCTGTAATATTTCAGCTATTACTTTGTATTTTACTATTTTTTTTCACAGAGTACATGAAAGGCCCGACAGGACTGAAATAATAATGGAACTGGTGAGTAGCACTTTAATATAAGATACCAAAACAAATCAAGAATACGTAGTATTCTGCCGCACCACTAAAGTTATTATTTAAGTCCAAATATACATACATTCATGTGTTTTCAACCATATTTTAGCCATACATTTGCAACATGAAGTAGTACTTTATGGAGCTTGTTGTGAAAATACCCACATATGGTTATCTGACATGACTACAAACCTAAAACCAAACATTTATTTAGCTAACCAGTATTATTTAAAGAAGTGTTTAGGTTTGCAGCCTTTTTCATTTAAGAATTAAATCATAATCAAGACTTTTCATCTTTATCTCCCCCAAACTTGTTTAAAAGTTTAAGACTACAACAACAAATACATGAGATTGAATTTCTTAGTTCATAACAATATATTATTGTTCACCGCTGGAAATAAAATGTATTCTGTAAGCTCATTTTACTCATTTAATGTGAGATGGTACTTTGGCAAGTAAAATATGTTTTATTCAATATATGCTAACATATTTATTGTAATAATAACTTTAAATATGGAATATATCTAAGCCTTATTTATTTTCAAATAATTGAATTTATATTCTGTCATTTCTCGTGCTGAGACAGTTTTGCTTCAGTTTTGTTCTTGTGTGTTTAAGAAGTTTTTTTTTTATTAAATGTGCACAAACCTATCTACTCGTTTTGTTGAGATTGCAGACACTTGTTACCTGTCGTGTCCACTTTGAATCTGTCTGTTCGACTGTTGAGTTGTGTTTGTCATTAACTCACAGTCGCAAAAATGATCCATTTTTGTTCCCTAAAAGTGTTTGGGTGGAACAAAAATAAACTTGTGCATCTTCCCAAGTCAAAAATGGGCACATATAAGTACTTTTTTTTTTTTTAAGTACTAAAGTACTAAACCAACATATCCTTAAGCTCCTCTGCCTGGTTTGGGATTGTTCTGTTTTTAGTGACATTTTGAAAACTTTTTGAATATACAGTCAGTTTTTGTTGTTCTGCTCTTGTCTGTGTCGTAGCCATCGAGTCCGGAACAATCCGATTCTGAGGCCGATGACGAGGAAGAAGTGGAAGAAGAACCAGAGCAGAAATCCGCCTATACGAAGCTTCTTTCATCCCTTAATCAACCCACAGGTGACATCCAGAGCGAAGACGAGGAAAGCTCTGATGATGATGATGAAGAAGATGATGAGGAGGAAGTGCTTCTTGGTGAGGTTTTTTAAGCACTTCTGACATTTAGCAGGGGTTGACATAATGAAATGTTCCAGGTTGTCCAGCAGACAACCTCTTGACCAAATTTTTTTTGTCCGCAACCTTTACAAAAAAGAAGGCGAAAAAAATCCAAAGAAATTTTTTATTTATTAAGTATTTTGCACTATATGCAAAGTTCACTATATACAAATGTTCTCAGTCAGTCATCTTGTGGACTGCTTGAATTTCCAAGCTACTGAGAAACAGACTCTTTCAGGAGCTGCTGGAGTGGAACTTCCTCGTTCTCTTTGTTGTCATCAGATTTTACTTGAGAGACACTCGCAGCATTTTTAAGGCAGAGATTAAAACAGAAAAAATCTTTTGACAGAAATTTTTTCTACAAGTTATGTTGACCCATTGACTAAAAATCTAAGTTTATGATTATTATAGAGGGCGGTGATGGAGCTGAGGATAGTGAAGATGAAAGTGAAGACGAAGGTCCTGCTGATGAAGATGTGGAAGTGAAGGAGGAGGAGGAGGAGAAGAAAGCAGAAGGTGAAGAGTTTGTAGACAAGGAACACGAGTCGGAGTTCTGTTTAGAGACGAACTTCATGAAAAACGAAGAGCACGATGAGGATGACAAATCTGCACAAAATCCTAAAGATGGTAAGAAAAAACTAATTGGTTAAAATGTCAAAATATGTTGTTTTTTTAATTGATGTTTATGTTTCTTCAAGGTTTTATTTTTCTGATAAAGCAAATTGTAAAATATGCAAAATATGAATAAAATTTCAATATATTTCTAATAATCTGCATCTGCAGATATGTTTTTACAGCATTTGGACACAGAACTCACCGAAGAGGATATAGAAAAGTTAACATCTGGCAGCAAATCCAAAACTCAAATTTTGGTAATACACAAACTAATGAATTAATCAGCTTTTTCTTCCTTTCTTTTTTTTATTTCTTTTTTAAATTTTTACAATTTTTTTTTTGTTTTATTGTTTAGTGGCCTAAACTGGGGAATCTTCTCTGCACCAAACCTTTTGAGGAGTTTGGCTCCATCGGCACACAGAAGAACTCAAACTTGCCGATTTTCCACAAACTTTTAGAGAACAGCTGGAAATGTCTGAACCAGTCCTCCAATCCTAAAGGAGTAGCTGAAGAAATCAGCCCTCTGCAGCTGGAGCTACTAGCTCTCATGGGTACCTACAAGGATGTGTTTTATTCTGAGATGTGCCCCATTAAGCACCATCCACAGGTTCTAAGTTCGTACTGCCTCCATGTGCTCAACCACGTCCTGAAGTCAAACTCCAGAATCCTGGCCCACAACGCGCAGCTCAGAGAGCAAAAAGCTCTAACTAAAGCCAGAGCAGAACCACAAGACGAACCCAGAGACCAGGGACTGACCAGACCGAAGGTAAAATACTGACTTGATTGTAGATGTTTGTCTCAGCTTCAGTCAGGTGAGAAAACACAGATTGGACTACAAGCTGTGTTCTGTAGTGATAATGCGAGGTGTTTCTGATTGTGACCAAAAGAAGTAAAAACTCTAGAACTTATAGAAATGTGCCTCGTTTTAAAGGAACACAGCTAAAATCAACTTTCCACTCTAATTAATCAAATTAATTAATTAACACAAACTGTAATTAGGGCCAGAAAGAGGGATCTAAGTAAGAAAATGGTCTTTTCTGACATCTTCACAGCAGTTTTGTTCCAAAACACATGGAAAAAATTAAAACTCCTTAGGTATGTGCGATAATTAAACATCTCAGTTGAAATGCACTTTGTGGTTTGAAGGTGATTGTGTTTGCCATTACACAATCATTACACAAGACTCGAAACTAAAAGTAAACAAACATATTATTGTTAGGTTTAAATAACTAATAATCAGTCATTCAGAAACCTCCTGCTTCACACAGTCAACGACGCAGTCAGATCTTTTTGTTCCTGATCTGTATTAGATTCCTTTCAAGGGCACATTCTAACATAATTTATTCACTTTTATATTTATTTATTAAAGTGAAAAAACTTTTACAGATCCAAGCAGTTTTGAGCAATCCGTTCTCTCTCTCGTCATACAGTCGCACGTTGTGTTGATTAATTTAGTCGCGCATCGAAGCGGTCAAATTATCCCCATTTGGTGTGGGAGGCGTCCGTCTCTCTGATTTATTAGACCGGACAGTTTTTCACGAGACACAACCTCGACCCGCGAGAAGAAGGAAAAAAGACAAAGTTTGTGCAAAGAGATCTACAACTATAACATGTGTCCTGTTTTCATCACAGAAAAATATAACACAATTTGTAAAATTTTTGCAGTTGGTGATTCAGGAAATTTATGTCTATATATTTTCTCAGGAGCCGCCACTGTTTTTGACTGGATTGTATTTACAGTAATTCGTGTCTAGAAGCTCATTCGCCACATGTTGTAACACAAAACCTCACTGATAACTGGAGAATCAGGTTCTAGTTAGCTGCTCCCTGCATCCACTGAACAACACGCAGGATGCCAGCAGGTCTGTTGATGTAAATTGAAATAAATCACCTGAGCTGCATTTATCAGAGGTGTTTGTTTTAAAAATATACTTCTAGATATTTAGATTAAGCTGCAAAACGTTGTTGGATACTGTGCTATACTGAAAGAATTTTTTTTGTTGTTGTTTTGCGCTGCATTTCTGCAATGATTGTGATCTGTTTGTCAGGTTCTGATTTTGGTTCCGTTGCGAGGCGGTGCCCTTCAGATTGTCCACACACTCGTCAGCCTGCTGGAGACAAAGGGCAAGAAGATCATGGTCAGCAACAAGAAGAAGTTCAAGGAGGAGTTTGGAATGGAGGCCGATGAGAAGCCACCCAACCTGCACAGACCAGATGAATATAACGCCATCTTTTCAGGCAACGTGGACGATCACTTCAGGATCGGTACGGTTCATAACGACAAAAACACAAGACCTCAGTCTGAGTTTATCTCTGAGAGTGTCCTCTTCTCCCCAGGTGTGTCCATAGTGAAAGGCAATGTTCGTCTCTACGCCCCCTTTTACTCGTCAGACATCATCATCGCGTCTCCACTCGGCCTTCGCACCGTGCTGGGAGCAGAAGGAGAGAAAAAAAGAGACTTTGACTTCCTGTCGTCCATCGAGCTGCTGGTCCTGGACCATGCAGATATTTACCTCATGCAGAACTGGGAGCACGTCTTGGTATGTTCATACCACGGCGCCACCTGCTGTCAAACAGCGAACCTGATCCCAGTCTAAACCAGATTTGTTCATTCTAATATCAAACTCTGAGCTTAATTAAATGATTTCTTAAAGAGATGTAGTTGAGGTTTGTTGTCTCCCCTCACCAGCATGTGGTGAAGCACATGAACCTGCAGCCACTGGACTCCCACGGCGTCGACTTTTCCAGAGTCAGGATGTGGAACCTGAACAACTGGGCAAGACACTACAGGCAGACGCTGGTGTTCAGCTCCATCCAGGAGCCCCAAATCAACAACATCCTGACCAAACACTGTGCCAACTACAGAGGACAGGTCCGGTAGACACTGTTTACATTTCAAATAACTTTAGAGGAAACCTGAGAGAGAAAATAATGCATATAAGATCTCAATACTTTGTATCTTTCTCTTGTATATAATTTGGTAAAAGGAGGAGGTTGCCATTTGATTGACAGGAGATTCATTTCACAACGACGTGGACTTTAAAACATTTTCTATTTAGCAATGGAGGAAACTTCAAATGCAGCACAAATTGTAACTTTTGTTATTGAATAAAACAAATCAGGTATTTATAGAAGAACACAATTATTTCATAAAGGAAATAGTTAATTTGTTTTAGAGCTAAATGTTTTGTCCATTCTGTGGCTAAACAGGTTTTGCAAGTAAAAACTCATGCGGTCAAAATAACAAACAAACAAAAAGATTATTAAAACATTCCTCAAACTGTATATATATAAAAAAAATAAATTACCCAAGTAACACACAAGCATCTATAATCAGAAGTGAAGTCCGGGTTTAAAATAAAAAACCAAATAGCTAAACTTTTTTTTTTTTTTTTTTTGCAGATTGTCACTAAAAACATGCCACAAACCGGCTCCATCTGCCAGGTTCTGGTCCAGCTGCCTCACGTGTTCCAGATGTTTTCCTCCCAAAGCTTCATAGATCACGATGCTCGGTAAGATTATGGGAAAATATTTCTCAGCGTCGTCATATCTACAAGAGGTTCATCTGTTTGTGCTACATCCTTGTGGTTGTTTTATTAATTGATCAGCTTTTACACGACCAAAGAGCAACGGCAGAATAAATCCTTGTTTCCAATTGTATTTTCTGCTCGTAGGTTTCAGTTTTTTGTAGATAAAGTGCTGCCTCAGTACAAGGACTCGGTTATGTCCCACACCCTGATCTACATCCCGTCCTACTTCGACTATGTTCGATTGCGAAACCACATGAAGAAGAAGGATATGAACTTCACCTGCATCTGCGAGTATTCCAGCAAGTCGGAGGTGTCTCGAGCACGGCATTTCTTCCAGAAAGGAGAGAAGCAGTTCCTGCTCTTCACCGAACGCTTCCACTTCTACAAGAGGTCAGTTCAGTCCAACGATCCTCGCCGTCTTTTGTTCTGTGTGTGGATTTAAGTTCTCATTTCGTGTTTGTTGTGCAAAAACCACTGAAGGTTGTCCTGTTAGCCAGTAGAATTGTTTCTGCTATTAAATTTTTAGCTAATTCCTCGTAGAGCTGGACTTGATGAGGTTGAGTAAAAATGATGTGATGGAAGTTCTGAAGCGAGAACTCCTGGAATCGTTTCCACATCAGCAGAGTTTAAAACCTTCATAACCACTCTGAGTTTATATAACTTTAGCTGCATTTCAGAGTCCTGACACTGTCATTCCAATAAAAAACTGAATGTCAAATCACTTAAATGTTTATTTAATTCTGGCAATTTGAGACCAATTTATTTTATGTTTTTGTGTGATCTTGTTTGAAATGGTTCAGCTTTTCCAGCCTTTATTTTAAGAACTAAGGGACAAACTTTAACCACTAAAAACTTTTTACCTTTTGCTGTTTTGTTTGAAAATGCAAGAGTTTTTAGTCAGTTGGCATCCCAACAATAAAACCGAAAAGTTCTGTTGATTATGAGCGTTTGTCCTCTTATAATGAACTTTATTGAATAAATTATACAACCTGCGTTATGCCACATTACATATGCGTTTTATAATCCTATTACAAAAAGTTATGTGAATGATTCTTGCATCAAATCCTGCAGAAACACTGATTTTGGAACATTTTTTTGTTCAGGTACACCATCAAAGGGATCCACAACCTGATATTCTACGGACTGCCCACCTTCCCGCACTACTACAGCGAGGTGTGTAACATGCTGGCAGCAGGTCGTCAGGGGGAGGAGGCCAGCTGGACCTGCACCGCCCTCTACTCCCGATACGACGCCAACAAACTGGCTGCCGTCACCGGAGCACAGCGGGCCAGACAGATGCTGCACTCCGACAAGAACGTTCACCTTTTTGTGACGGGAGCAGAGGACAAAGCTTCCTGATGGTGCTGAACGGATCAAAGACAGACCGTCAGATAACTGGCATGTTGTTCTCATTAAACTGCTTATATTTTATTATATCATTCCACATTCAGGCATGTTTTGTTTGGTGTGTTGAAGCAAAAATGTTAAGTCAGAAAAAAATTAAAATTCAAAAACATTGTGACTGTTTGCTGACATTTTCTTATCTATTAGATATTTTACATCATTATAAGTTTATAGTTATATCTGCCAAAATTAGATACAGATAAGTAAAACAATTTAAAGATGTTTAAAATTTTGAAAACTTGAGATATTAAGAAGTGTCTAAATATATAAGAAACGACTTCATTGAATAATCTAGCAACTGCCTGATAACACTGGCTCCACTCCTGTTGGCACTATTTTTCCAGCTTTTTGGAAACCAAATCATCATGTGTCTGAATCAACATTTTTATTGTTTTGTGTTTGTTTATTTTTAGTTCATTGTTTGCCTTCTACCTACTTCTGCATTGTTGTTGCTATTTTAGCTTTTCCTATATGAAAATCTTGAGCTAACTGAGATTAAGAGCTATTTCTTTTTTTAGTCTTTATTAAAATACTTATTTACAAATAATTTGATATACACTTTTTTTTAGCTATCGCTTTACAAATTTTAACTAGTTTTTTCCTACCTTTATCTAGGCTTTTGCTACTTTTAAATAGCATTTTGTTATTTTTAGCCTTTAGCTAGTGTTTTTGCTGCATTTATCTTATGCCTGGCATTTTGATGCTTTATCAATTACCTAGAGTTTTGCTATTTTTGGCTCTTCTGATTCTTTTTGATTTTAGGTAGTGTTTTAGATTTATTTTTTTTAGCTAACATTCTTGTTTTATCTTTAAGCACTCAGTTTCAGCTTCTTTAACAATGTTCAGTAAAGTCATTCTTAAAAACCTCATGCATGTTGGCAGTATTGGTCTTCCATACCGATGTCAGACGCTTGTGGTTAACCATTAGGAATGCTAAACCAGAGAACTTTAGTGCGAGATAAATCATTTGTTGCCTGGTTGTCTGAGCAACGAGCACTCTGACTGTTCTGACACAGTTCTGGATCTCTGACGTAACAAAAGACAAAAACATTTAAATGTTGCTGATTCATTTGAATGCTGGTATGTAGAAAAAGGTGTTATATGACCCACCCTCATAATTATTAACTCCACATGTTGATGCAATAGTGACTTTGCCCACATAATTAGAGGGTTTACCTGCAGTGTTTTGGCCGGCAGACAGCAGACGGTCTGAAACTCCGGCCTGGTGATGGACGGCGAGCCACAGAAGCTCAGCCTAAAGCGGGACGTGGGGCTGATGGGAGCCGTGTCGCTGATTGGTGGGACGATGATCGGGTCTGGGATCTTCATGTCTCCACAGACGGTGATCTCCACCATTGGCAGCCCTGGAGCCAGCCTGGTGGTTTGGGCCTGCTGTGGCTTACTGGTGATAATGGTATCTTTCTGTTACGCTGAGCTGGGCACCGTTATCGAAGAGTCAGGAGGAGAGTACATCTACATCCTCAGGACCTGGGGCCCAGTTGTTGCCTTCATGCTGGTGTTCAGCTCTGTGTTTTTTGTCAGACCAGCTGGCGTTGCTGGCATCGCCCTGAGTTTCGCTCAGTACGTCGTGGCTCCTTTTTATTCAGAATGCCTCCCTCCTGTGCTGGTGGTGAAATGCGTAGCTGCCGCAGCGATTATAGCTCTAGCTGTCGTAAACTGCCTGAATGTTCGCTTTGCGATGTCGGTGCAGGTGTTTTTTATGGTGGCCAAAGTTGTGGCCTTGGGAGTCATCATAATCGGAGGGGTGGTGATGCTCATCAGGGGCCACACTGGCAGCTTTGAAGATTCCTTCGAGAACACAAATGTTGGTATCAACCCAATCGGTATCGCTTTCTACCAGGGACTGTGGTCGTACGACGGCTGGAACAATCTGAACTATGTGACGGAGGAGCTGAAACGCCCCGAGGTAAGAGGAGTTATTGATCAGCTGGTGAACAGTAACAGCTCTAACTCAATCACTTTTACAGATATTGATCTAAACCGATGTGGAATCCCTCAGGATACATGGATGAAGGTCTTGGAGCTAACCCAATTCAAGATGGCCGCCACAGCCAACTGATCACATAGAACATAAAAATGTCATTAAGTCAGTCTTACAGTTTTTGAACTAAACTCGTGGTTGTAGCTGAAAGTCATTTACAACACGTTCTTCAGTTGCCATCACTGAGATGTTTTAGTTTTTGTCTGGTAGCAAAATATCTCAAGTCAGTGGGCGGTGTTTAATGAAGCTTTCGTACAGTAATTGGATGGACATCTTTTAAATAATGATAAGATTCTCAATTGGTTGGAAATGCCCTTTGACCTTTCCCAGATCAGTTGGGCAGCAACAGTTGGTCTTCATTGCTGTTGTCTTTCCATCTTGGCGTTGTGTTAACAAGCGCCTGAATGCGCCGTGGCCTAGATTTAGCTAAACAAGGGATGTTATTGTGGAAGCTGTGCGTGTGTTCACCAGAATTTTTGCCAACATTTTATCTTTATGAACTGTTAAAGATAAGAGAGGCCTTTTTTAATTCTTATTTTTTACAGTGTGCTGATGTGTAAGAGGGTGCTTTCCTTTCTCATGACTCAGTATGATGAAGATAATGATCAACTTTCTTGATAGTCTAATCAGTAATTTTATTTTGCAACAACTGGCTCCAGACTAAGAACACGGTGTTTAACAGAAGGAATGATATTTTTTAAATTGTCCTCAGTGTTTTTTCATTGGATGAGTGTAAATGGAAGCTTTTTTTTGCAAAACTGCAGCCAGTTAAAAAAGTGTGTTTGGAAATCAAACCACTTCGCCCCATTTCTTCATTTAATGTCTGTTTACGCTCTGGTTGAGTCTGACATTACCCAGTAGCTCACAGTTAAATGCAGTGACGACTGTGCTGCTTTAATTAAAGTTACTTCAGAGAGGAGCAGCTTCAGCCATCGATGGCAGAGAAGCTCAGTCTGAAGAGGGATGTTGGGATATTTGGAGCGGTGTCCATTGTTGGGACCATGGTGGGAGCTGGGATCTTTATCAACCTTCCAGTACGTCCTGCTCATCTCACCCCAGTGCCAGCCTTCTCGTATGGGCCTGCTGTGGGCTGATAGTCTGGGCTCTGCTATGCTGAACTGGGAACTGTCATTCCAGAGTCTAGAGGCGAGTGCATCTACATCTGCAGACGTCTGAGAAAGTCATGGCCTTCATGTGTTCATCTTCCTCATGGTCATGAGGCTCGTGAGTGTAATGGCTCTGAGCTGTGCAGAATACATCGTGCCCCCCTTCTACAGCAGCTGCCCCCTCTCTGCAACTGGTTTTGAAATGTGTAGCTGCAGGAATGATCCTCTTGTTGGCCATAATAATCAGCTCGAGTGTGCAGTTTGCCTCCTGCATCCAGGCGGTCTCCATGGCAGTCAAAGTTGAGGCGCTGGTGATCGTCCTGGGAGGGGTCGCCATGCTTTTTTTAGGGCAACCCTTAGAACTTGGACGACTCTTTTAAGAACATACGTCAATGTCAGCTCCATTATCTTTGCTTTCTGTCAGGAGTTGTGGTCCTACAACGGATGGAATATAATCTTCAACTGGATTTAGATATAATGTGCATATATGTTTAATCTTTCTTATTGTCCTTGTCTTTAAGCAAAAAATCCCATGAAACATAGGACAAATTTTAATGAAACTTGTAAATGGGTAACTAAGTCTTTGCTCAATAATCCAGGTATACAATCAAACAATTTTCAGTCAGGTCATTTGGACAGTTTCTTTTTTGTGCTGAAATATTTCACCTCCATCCAGAAGGCTTCATCAGTCAAGGAAACACAACACAAAACTGATTCTTCCCCATGTAAAAGGGAATTGAATGTCCAATTAAGTCAACCCACTTCCAACAATAAACAGAAATAGCAATAATTCTGTCCATTTTACAGAAATTAATAGAATATTTTGTGAGGTAGTAGCTGATCAGAGCCCCCAGCACACATTCTGAGTATTAACAGGTTGTGCAAGATCTTTGTGTAAAATGTTGCCCTTTGGAGTCCACCCAGTCTGTTAGCAAAGTGTCTCATGGACCAGCGGACACATTTTTAAGAAACTTTCAGGAAATAAAATCATTGGCTTTATTTTATCAACTGATTAACGTTTGGAAACAATCAAATTTGAATGGGCTCAGCCAAATGACCTTTGCAAACACACAAATGGCTATAATCTAGTCACTTTTACAGATGTTGAGCTCACATTTGATATGGAAGCAGCTGAGAGTCCAGTACAACACATACTACGAGCATAGCAAATTGCCTAATTGTACATAATGTTATTTTCAATCTCAACATAAAGTTCTCCTGGCATTAAAGACGACAGATGATGCATTCTTTCAATGTTCCTTTAGGTGATCATGTTGAGGGAAAAGGTGTGAAGGTCAATGTGATCTAAAGTTGCCACTACAAAGTGCAAAGAAAGGCTTGTATACGAGTTTAATCAGCAGCTGGGTGTAAAAAGTTTACAACCACAGATTAATCATAAATCCTGTTGCTTATAAAATGTTGAAGGCGTTTCAATGCGTCTTGGTGTTTTTGTGTGACTGAGCTGTGCGAGCGTCATGGCAGAGAAGGAAACCGTGAAAATCAAGCGGGTTATCGGATTGACGGGAGGTGTAGCCCTGGTTTGTGGAACCATGATTGGATCTGGGATCTTCATGTCTCCTCAGTATGTTCTAACCTACGTGGGGAGCCCGGGGGCCAGTCTGGTGATCTGGGCACTCTCTGGAGCTGTGGCCATGTTCGCGGCGCTGTCCTACACTGAGATTGGGACCATCATCCCAGAATCTGGTGGGGATTTCATCTACATACTGAGGATTTACGGGCCGTGCCCCGCTTTCTTTGCTGCGGTCACTTTCATCCTGCTGGTAAAGCCTTTCGGTACCGCTGCAGTAGCCATCAGCATTGCAAAGTATGTGATGGCACCGTTTTACTCCAGCTGTCAGCCTCCACAGCTGGTTGTGAAATGCATTGCAGCCGTCGCCATCTTGGTCGTGGCCATCATCAACATCTTGAACGCCCGTGTTGCCATCAGAGTCCAAGTTGTCTTCACAGTGACCAAAGTGGTGGCACTGACAGCCATTGCACTTGGTGGGATAGCGGAGATCATACAGAACAACACTGTGATTGTGGAGAATTTAAATGTTGAGGACTCGTTTAAAGGGACTCGAGTCTCTGTCAGTGCTTTAGGGATGGCTTTTTATCAAGGACTCTGGTCTTATTCTGGCTGGAACAACCTAAATTATGTCACAGAGGAGCTGAAAAAACCAGAGGTGAGAAGATAGATTATCAAAAACCAGTTCTCATGAGCTCTTAAATCTTGAATATAAAGATTACCCAACGGTTAAAGGACAAGTATAATGATTTTATCTGTCTGTCTGCAAATCATGTGAACCCAAATTTTTATTCACAGTGGATAATAGTAAACCTGTTGGACATTTAAACTTTGAAATTGCATCATTTTAAAGGTAATTTTAAGTAATCATAATCATAAGGTAATTTTTAATTTTGTGGCAGCTCACAAAAGTTGGGACCGGGTTATGATTTCCAGTGTGAAGCATCTGCTTTTCTTTTAGCAACAATCTGTAAACGCCTCTGAGCTGAGGAGACCAGATGTTGGAGTTCTTCGAGGGAGCATTGGCCCATTCTTGTCTGATGGAGGATTCTTGTTAAACAGTCCCGGATCGTTTGCAAGTTTTTTTGGTTCATGATGTTTTCAACTAATCAGAGGTCTGGACTGGCCAGTTCAGCACCCGGACTCTTCTATTACTGAGCCTTGGGCTTGGACTTTTCATCTCTGAAGCCGTTGAAGCCGTAATGAATGCTGAACATGGTTTAGCACTGTTTTGCTGAAATATGCTAGACTTTCCCTACAAACGATGTTGACTGGATGGGAGCAGATGTTCTTTAACCTGTGTTTCCAGATGTGTAAGCCGCTTATGCTATATGCACTAATGCACCCCCATATCATCAGAGAGGAAGGCTTTTGAACAGTGCACTGTCTTATTGATCCACTGTGAATAAAAGATTGTTTGTTTTTTACATTTTAAATAATTGATTTGTTTTTTGTATTTTACAAAAACATCACAACTGTTTAACCTTTGGGGTCAACCAAAGTCAAAATGGATTCCATTAATATTTATGTCATTTATTTCTATAACAACAGACTTTTCATATTTGGAAGTTTTTTTTTATTTTTTTTAGGTAAATCTTCCCAGAGCTCTGGTGATAGCCATTTCTCTGGTAACGGGTTTGTATCTGCTGGTGAACGTGAGCTATCTGACCGTGATGACACCTAAAGAGCTGATGACCTCCAACGCCGTCGCCGTTACCTGGGGGTAAAGAACGCACGCTCTTTCAACCTTTTACAAAGCTGGCTTTTTATTCTCAAACAATTAATTCAAGACAGGGATTATTTTAACGAGGAATGTTTCTCGGACAGGAATAAGGTGTTAGGCAGCTGGGGCTGGATCATGTCGGTGGCTGCAGCTCTTTCTGCTTTTGGATCTTTGAACGGGACTTTCTTCAGCGGGGGTCGGGTCTGTTTTGTAGCAGCCAGAGAAGGACACATGGTAACTGCCTTTACAGAATTGTACAAAGTTTGTTCGGATTGAAAAATGTTGGCTGACGTTTTGAAGCCTCTGCCCGATATCCCAACATTTAAATTTCTTGAATCAAAAGCAACATCTGTATAAACCTTTGTTTCTACTGCAGTGGTCCTCAATCCTAGTTCTCGGGGAGTGGGGGCACTATTCTGCATGTTTTTATTGTTTACCTGCTCCTCAGCAGGTCTTCCAAGTTCTGCAGAATCCTGTTAATAACTCATTTATTCAGATTAGGTGTATTGAAGAAGAGAAACGTCTGTAACATACAGGATGGTGGCCCTCGAGGATCATGATTGGACAACCCTGAGATAAAACATACAGCATAGTGGCCCTCGAGGACCAGGATTGGACACCACTGATATAAAATATCCAGGATAGTGGCCCTTGAGGTCCAAGATTGGGGACCACTGATATAAAACATGCAGGATAGTGGCCCTTGAGGTC